CAAAAGTAGCCTAAAGTAAGAAACCTAACAACATTCAACCAGAAGGGAAAATAGCCTAAAATATTAACTCAGCAACATTTGACGACAAATATCCTAAATAATAGCCTAAGAACTTTTGACCAGAAGAGAAAATAGTCTGAAACAATTGCCCAACAACTGAGGGCCCTAAAAAAAAAGCCTAAAACATAAGCTTCAGGATATTTGACCTGACGAAAAAAAAAAAAAAAATAAGCCTAAAACAATTGTCCTCCAACAACTATGGTCCAAAAATAGTCAAAAAAATATAAGTCTCAGGACATTTGACCTGACGAGAAAATAGCCTAAAACAAAAGCCCAACAACATTTGACCAAAAATAGCCTAAAGTAAGAGCCTAAGAACATTCAACCAGAAGGGAAAATAGCCAACGACAATTTCTCAACAGCTATAAATAAAACATTAGCCTACCCAAACATTTGACCAACAAAAAAAAAAAAAAAGCCATAGCAATAGCTTAATAATATTTGACCAGAAGAGAAAATTGTCTAACACAAAAACCCAAACATTTTACCAAAATTATACAATTATAGCCTAAGAATATTTGATCAGATAAAAAAAAATAGCCTTAAAGAAAAAAAAATCCCATAGGAACATTCCATTTTGTAAAATCTATATTTACTACCAAATCATCACCCCCCCAGCTATATGAGTAGCTACTAGAACAAAAAAAAAATTAAAAAAAACACAAAAAAAGTCTCATAAGTGGGCAAAATAAATTAAATAACTAAAAATAAAAAAATTAAAAAATAATAGAATATATCCAAAATAAATGAAAGAACTATAAAAAATAAAAATAAAAAAATAATCAAATATAATCTTTTGATGAAAAAAATAAAACTATAAATAATAAAAAAAAATAAAATAAAATATAAGTGGGCAAAATCAAGCTGAAAAAATAAAATTACATAACTGTGCAGCGCTACAAATCAAAAGTGAATAAATAAATGAAAAATAAATGAAAAAAAAAAATAAAATAAATAAATAATAAAAAATATCAAATATATCTTTTGATAAATTAAATAAACTAGAAATAAAAAAAAAAAAAAAAAAAAATATAAAAAATAAGTGGGCAAAAAAAAGCTGAAAAAAAAAAAAAATAATAAAAAAAATGTGCAGCGCTACAAATCAAATGTGAAAATAAAAAAATGAAAAAAACGAAAATAAAAAATAAATAAATAATAAAAATATATCAAAATATCTTTTGATAAATTAAATAACTAAAAAATAATTAAAATAAAAAAAAATAAAAATAAAAAATCCAAACTATAAAAAAAGAACTAAATAAAAATAATAAAAAAAATAATAAATAAAAAAAAAAAAAAAAAAAATCAAATATAAATTTTGAAAAATTAAATAACTAAAATAATTAAAAAAAAATATAAAAATATAAAAAATGGGCAAAATATAAAGCTAATAAAATAAAATTACATAAAAAAGCGCTACAAATAAATGTGAATAAATAAATGAAAAAAAAAAAAATAATAAAAAAATAAATAAATAATAAAAATATATAAAAAATAAAATCTTTTGAAAATAAATAAAAAACTAAAAATAAAAAAAAAAATAAAATCCAAAAATAAATGAAAGAACTAAAAAATAATAAAAAAATAAAAAAAAATAATAAAATATATCAAAATATATCTTTTTGAAAATAAATTAAATATAACAGAAATAATTAAAAAAAAAATATAATATAAGTGGGCAAAATCAAGCTGAAAAAATAAAATTACATAAAAAATATCTGTGCAGCACTACAAATCAAATGTGAATAAATAAATGAAAGAACTAAAAAAAATAAAATAAATAAAAAATAAATAAAAAATAAAATATATCAAATATATCTTTTGATAAATTAAATAACTAGAAATAATTAAAAAAATAATATATAACATATCCAAAGATAAATGAAAAAAAAGATAAAAATAAATAAAATATATCAAATATATCTTTTGATAAATTAAAATAACTGTAAATAATTAAAAAATAATACAATAGAAGTGGGCAAAATCAAGCTGAAAAAATAAAAAATACATAACTGTGCAGCGCTACAAATCAAATGTGAATAAATAAATGAAAGAACAAAAAAAAATAAAATAAATAAATAATAAAATATAATCAAATATATCTTTTTTTTTTAAATTAAATAACTATAAATAATTAAATAAATAATAGAATATATCAAAAGATAAATAAAAAACTATAAAAAAATAAAAAATAAATAATAAAATATATCAAAATATATCTTTGGATGTATTATGTTATTTTTTAATTATTTATAGTTATTTAATTTATCAAAAGATATATTTGATATATTTTATTATTTATTTATTTTAATTATTTATAGTTCTTTCATTTATTCATTTATTTATTCACATTTGATTTGTAGCGCTGCACAGTTATGTAATTTTATTTTTTCATCTTGATTTTGCCCACTTATGAGACTTTTTTTTGTGTTTTTTTTTTTTTTTATTTATTTTTATTTAATTTATTTATTCACATTTGATTTGCAGCGCTGCACAGTTATGTCATTTTATTTTCACGTTCAATTTTTCCCCCGCTCCCACAACGGCCACGGCTTTATACATTGTTGCGTAAAAATTCCTAAACTTAATAAGCAAACTACTGGGTAATTGCCACGGAACAAACGTACAAAGAGTTTTTTTTTGTTTTTTTAATAAATAGACCCTTTTTTTTTAAAATAATTTACATCCAGAGATATCATCCTATGTACATTTCTATGAAAAAATTTTTTAAAAGGATCTTCGGTGACCTTTTTTATAGTCGTTACACATTTATTAGAGCCTTAGGTCTTCTTTTATTGTATGGAGATGTCATTTGTGAATGTTCCTCCTAGTTGTTGGCCAAGGGATTAAGTAAATGGATGAGGCCTGGAATGTGATCCCCATAGAAGCACTTTCTCCACCTCTCATAATGCATGCGTGACCATGCCCCCCCCCCCACCCCCCCCCCCACCCCCCACCCTGGTGATTTAACAGTGGCATTTGAAACCACTTCCCCATCATTTGTCAATGAGATTTTCCAAAATAAAATAGCCCTGTGAAGGGGGGCGGCTGGAAGTATCCATCAAACAGCTCCTCGGCTGTAGTAAATTGTGGAAAAAAAAATACTTATCTAAACAGCAGAAGTCTTTAAACTGGAGTTCCTGGTGCTAAAATATCAAATGAGGAGGGCGAGGGGACCGGGTGCGTGTGCCGGGAGTGTGGGGAGGGATGGGGCACTTGAAAGATCTAATCAAGGAGGAGAACGCACCGGTGGAAGCGTGGATATGGTGAAGATCATTTAATTAAAAAAATAAAATAAGAGCAGGGGGTAAGCCGAAAAAAAAATGCCATTAGAGTGCTGCTCTGTACAAATGCGCAAATATTTGCTCACATGAGCGCATGCATTCTGAAAACCTTTATAGCCATGTGTGCTGAACATCCAAAGGAAATTATAAAAAAAAAAAAAAAAACAAAAAAAATTTAAATAAATAAATCTATTTATTTTTATATATATATATATATATATATATATATATATATATATATATATATAAAATTTTAGAAAACATTTTCCAACTTCTGTCCTCAAATGACTCTCTCTCACAAGGAGCTGCAATTATACCCCTCCTCAGCTGTCAAAAAAAAAAAATAAATAAACACATATATATAAAAGATATATGTATATATATATATATATATATATATATATAATGTATATATATTTATAAAAAATAAATAAATAATAATAATAAAATATATATTTATATATTATATATATATAATTCTTAGAAGAAATTTTTCAACTTCTGTTTATATATATCTAAGAATTATATATATATATATATAAAAATAAAAAGATATATATATATATAAAAATAAATAAATATATATATATATATATATATATATATATATATAAATAAAAAGATATATATATATATATATATATATATATAAATATAAATGTATATATATTTATTTAAAAAAAATTATAATAATAAATATATATATATATGTGTATATAAATTGTTCGAATTCCGAACAATTTTTTGTCCAAAAATCGGAAACGTTGTTCGCTCGGTAATCCGACAGTGCCATCATTGATTTCCAAAATCGGCCGACCGAGTCATAAAGTTCATCCCATATAACAGGCAAAACTTCTGTTCCTTCCAGGCCATGGCTCCAGCACATATTTTCTTCAGGAAAACGATCGTATGATTTGACCATCATTGAGTTGAAAATCGATCATTTTTCATGAATTTTCCAACATGCCCGATCACCGAAAAGGGGAAGAACCACAAAAATCGGCCGGTGCCATTGACCCCACTAACAGAGTGAAAATCGGCCGATTATTCTTAGGTCTGATTTTTGGCCTAAAAATCGGTAGATTTTCAACCCATGTATGGCCGGCCTTATGCAGGCCATACATGGTTTGAATTCTGAATGATTTTTAGTCCAAAAATCGGAAACGTTGTTCGCTCGGTAATCCGATGGCACCATCATTGATTTCAAAAATTGGCCGAAAAAAGTCATAAAGTTCACCCCATATAACATGTAAACTTCTGTTCCTCCCCAGGTCACGGCTCATGCGCATATTCTGTTTGAAAAAACGATCGTACGATTTGACCATCATTGAGTCGAAAATCGGTCGTTTTTCATTAATTTTCCAACATGCCCGATCACCGAAAATGGGAGGAACCACGAAAATCGGCCGGTGCTATTGACCCCACTAACAGAGCAAAAAAATTGGCCGATTATTCTTAGGTCGAAAAATATTGGTCGAATTTCCACCCATGTATGGCCGGCCTTACTGTCATTTAACCTGGAAGCAGACTAGTGGGGAACAGCCCCCCCCCCACTGGAATACACCGATTAGCGCTTGCAGCCATTGGCTGGATTGGTTTTCCAGCATGACTATTCAACAGAAGCTGATTTTCGACCAGGGGCGGACTGACAACTCATGGGGCCCCCAGGCAATAGGGGATCATGGGGCCCCTGTGTCCTTGCCCAAACTCAAAAAAGCCTATGAAAAAGGTACCAGGGGCATCTCATGGGGCCCCCTAGTGCCCGAGTTTCCAAATGGTCAGTCCGCCCCTTTTTTCGACTCATGTATGGCCAGCCTTAAGCCAGCCATACATGGATCAAATTCTGAAAGAATTTTCTTTCGAAAATCTTTTCTAAGAATTTTCATTCGAATCTCGCACCATTAGTGGGCCACAGAAACGGACGATTTTCATGCAACCATTGAATTCGAGTGTTGGAAATTTTTGGAAAAACAAACGAATTTCTGATCAAGATTAGGAGAATCGTGCCAGAAATGTAATTAAAAAAAAGAAACAAACATGAACTGTGACCTGGAAAGAAAAGAAAATTCTTGGCCACAAAAAATTCTTTTCTGTAGCAACATGTGAAATTGAAGGCTTGGTTGGTTGAATTTCGAGCTCAATGGTGGCACCATCGGATTACAAAATGCATGAAATTTCCGATTTTCTAAAGAAAATTCGTTCAGAATTCTTCCCATGTATGGCCAGCGTAATGAGTGATTTTTTTTCTAAATTTCTGTAGGAACCTTCAAACAACATTCCAATGGTCTATGGCCGGCTGTCTGGTCGATGTAATATGGAATATCATCATTTCTTCGATTCTTTTATCTGCGTGCTCCAAAACCATCCCATAAATCTGTTTCTTAGCATCCGGGGACCTGATGTCCTGCTTTTTGGAGACCTTTAGGTATCAGCAGAGCCCAAGACAAAGTCCTTCAGAAATCATGAAGATCTAATTAGCGGTGATAAGAAAGTGCTGAGAGCCACTGCTGGCCGTTGAGATAAGCTACTGGCAGCCACCACACCCCACAGTCCGAGGGGGGACTTATCGGAGAGCCAGCCGGCCATAAAAAAAAAAAAAAACTTTTCAAAAACAGAAATCTTTTTCTTTCCAACCAGAAAAGAAATGAAGATTTAGCCGCTGTAAGCAAATCTCAACCCGAGAGTGATGCCTCCAACATACAATGTGACCTTTGGGTGAGACAGTTGGACGACCACCCATTGGGACTGATTTATGAAAGGCTATGAAAGTACAGTGGGACGTCAATCTCGCAGGGTCGTCAGCTTGAATCCCAACCACGGCACCACCTGCCTGGAGTTTGCATGTTCTGCCTGTGTAGGTTTCATCCAGCCAACCTTGCTTCCTCCTATACCCCAAAGACATGCTGGTAGGCCAATTGGCTCCTAACAATATGTAAACCCAACATTTACGGGGCAGCACAATGGCTAAATGGTTAGCACTTCCGCCTGGCAGTACTAGGGTCAACAGCTCAAATCCCAACCACGGCACCACCTACCTGGAGTTTGCATGTTCTGCCTGTGTGGGTTTCCCACAGCCACCCTTGCTTCCTCCCATACCCCAAAGATATCCTGGTAGGCCAATTGGCTCCTATGAATTTGTAAACCCAACATTTATGTGGCAGTACAGTGGCTAAATGGTTAGCACTTCCGCCTGGCAGGACTAGGGTCATCAGCTCTAATCCCAACCACGCACCACCTGTCTGGAGCTTGCATGTTCTCCCTGTGCCTGTGTGGGTTTCCTCCCATACCCCAAAGACATGCTGGTAGGCTAAGTGGCTCCTAAGAATATGTAAACCCAACATTTATGGGGCAGCACAGTGGCTAAATGGTTCGCACTTCCACCTGGCAGCACCAGCGTCATCAGCTCAAACACCAACCATCTGCCTGGAGTTTGCATGTTCTCCCTGTGACTGTGTGGTTTTCCTCCAGCCACCCTGGTTTCCTTCTATACCCCAAAGACATGCTAGTAGGCCAGTTGGCTCCTAAGAATATGTAAACCCAACATTTATGGGGCAGCACAGTATCTAAATGGTTAGCACTTCCGCCTGGCAGCACCAGGGTCATCAGTTCAAATCCCAACCATGACACCACCTGCCTGGAGGTTGCATGTTCTCTCTGTGCCTATATATATATATATATATATATATATACACACTATATTACCGCAAGTATTGGGCCACCTGCCTTTCCCATCAGTGGATGGGTGCATTGGTCAGGGATCAGTGAATGGATATATTGGGGTCCGTGGGGTCCAGTGGATGGGTGCATTGGTCAGTGATGGGTGCATTGGTCAGGGATGGATGGGTGCATTGGTCAGGGGTCCGTGAATGGGTGCATTGGTCAGGGGTCCATGAATGGGTGCATTGGTCAGGGGTCCGTGAATGGGCGCATTGGTCAGGGGTCCATGGATGGGTGCATTGGTCAGGGGTCAGTGGTTGGATGCATTGATAAGGGGTCAGGGTTGGATCATGGGTGGGATGGGTGCATTGATCCATGGATGAGTGTATTGGTTATGGGTCCATGGATAGGTGCATTGGTCAGGAGTTATGGATGTGTGCATTGGTCAAGGGTCAGTGGATGGGTATATTGGTCAAGAGTCATGGATGGTCATTGGTCAGGAGTCATTGGATGTGGTGCATTGGTCATTGGTCAGTGGATGGGTACATTGTCGGGGTCTGTGGATGGGTACATTGGTCAGTGGGTGCATTGTAAATGGGTACATTGGTCAGGGGTCAGGGATGGGTCATTGGTCACGGGTCAGTGGATGGGTACATTGGTGGTCAAGGGTCAGTGGATGGGTACATTGGTCAGGGGTCTGTGGATGGGTACATTGGTCAGGGGTCAGTGGATGGGTACATTGGTCAAGGGTCAGTGGATGGGTACATTGGTCAGGGGTCAGTGGATGGGTGCATTGGTCAGGGGTCAGTGGATGGGTACATTGGTCAGGGGTCAGTGGATGGGTACATTGGTGGTCAAGGGTCAGTGGATGGGTACATTGGTGGTCAAGGGTCTGTGGATGGGTACATTGGTCAGGGGGTCGGTGGATGGGTACATTGGTCAGTGGATCATTGGTGGGGTCAGTGGATGGGTACATTGGTCGGGGTCAGTGGATGGGTACATTGGTCAGGGGTATAGGAATATGGACTTATAGTTATGGAGCTGGTGAGAAGCAGAACCCTGAGATTGTGTAAGGGTGGGGGGCCTGGCACCATATTACATTAAATATGGGAGCAACATGTAACCCAAGTAAAAGACCAATAAAAACAACTTTTTCCCAGCTCCACCCAGGGCACGCCTCTGACGCATTTTGCCCCACCCACAGGGCTTAGTGTGAGTCCCCGGAGTCTGGGATGGAAAGTTGGCGCGGCATCCCAAACTTTACATGGTATAAATGGGACGTATCCTTTAACAGACCACAAAGGATCATTTAAGAGACATTTATTGTTAGGGCGTACATACAATGTAATTGGTACGGCCGGGTGGCTCCATCCCCAGTGACAGACTCTGCTTTAAGAGCAGCAATTGAGGTTTGTCTGGAAAGATTTGAGACTCGGCACAGATAAGTGAAATCAGATCTTGCAGCCACATTGCTGACAAAGGAATAATGGAGCAAAGCAGACAAGGCCATGGGACGGACATAGAGGGACGATGGAGTCCCAGGATACAACTGATGTACGCCTGTCCGTATATGTGATTGCCATACGCCTGTCCGTATATGTGATTGCCCGTATCCCTGTCCATATATGTGATTGCCATACGCCTGTCCGTATATGTGATTGCCATACGCCTGTCCCGTATATGTGATTGCCCGTATCCCTGTCCATATGTGATTGCCATACGCCTGCCCATATATGTGATTGCCATACGCCTGCCCGTATATGTGATTGCCCGTATCCCTGTCCATATATGTGATTGCCATACGCCTGCCCGTATATGTGATTGCCCGTATCCCTGTCCGTATATGTGATTGCCCGTACGCCTGTCCGTATATGTGATTGCCCGTACGCCTGCCCGTATATGTGATTGCCCGTACGCCTGTCTGTATATGTGATTGCCCATACGCCTGTCCGTATATCTGCTTGACCCGTACGCCTGCCCATATATGTGATTGCCCGTATCCCTGTCCATATATGTGATTGCCATACGCCTGTCCGTATATGTGATTGCCATACGATTGCCCGTATCCCTGTCCGTATATGTGATTGCCCGTATCCCTGTCCGTATATGTGATTGCCCGTACGCCTGCCCGGTATATGTGATTGCCCGTATGCCTGTCCGTATATGTGATTGCCCGTATATGTGCCCCATGTCCGTATATGTGATTGCCCGTATGCCTGTCCGTATATCTGCTTGACCGTACGCCTGTCCGTATATGTGATTGCCCGTACGCCTGTCCATATATGTGATTGCCCATACGCCTGTCCATATATGTGATTGCCATACGCCTGTCCGTATATGTGATTGCCATACGCCTGTCCGTATATGTGATTGCCCATATCCGTACGCCTGCCCGTATATGTGATTGCCCGTACGCCTGCCCGTATATGTGATTGCCCCGTATATGCCTGTCCGTATATGTGATTGCCATACGCCTGTCCGTATATGTGATTGCCCGTATCCCTGTCCATATATGTGATTGCCCGTACGCCTGCCCGTATATGTGATTGCCCGTACGCCTGTCCATATATCTGCTTGTCTGTATATGACCCGTACGCCTGTCCATATATGTGATTGTCTGTACGCCTGTCCGTATATGTGATTGCCCGTATGCCTGTCCATATATCTTCTTGCCCATACGCCTGTCTGTATATGTGATTGCCTGTATCCCTGTCTGTATATGTGATTGCCCATTTTTTTACCTGCATAAAAATGTGCATTTCTTATATTTTTTGTGAAAAGGTAACTTTTTTTTTTTATTTGCCTCACATAAGGAGACAAAAAGTCCCCTATGTAATGATTATTTTTGGTGACAGGTTCTCTTTATCAAAACATCTGGGGTCCAAGGAACCAGTGCTTTTTGCAGAAACGCACTACAGTCCATTTAACATGGTTTCCTACTGTACTTTTTTGAAACTGCGTTTTTTTGGAAAAGGGTCGGGGACGTATTTTAAAAGCAGAAAAGCAGCATTTTTGCTACGATAGAGTTCAATGGAGAAGCTGCTGAAATGCACGGTAATGCGTTCTGCCAAGCAACAACAACTAAAAAAAAAATTCCACCAAAAAAAAAAAAAAAAAAAA